GGGGGGGCATAAGCAGATGAGGGCATGACGCTGCTAAGCTTCAGATTTGAAATTTATCTCCAATGATTTGCCCTAAGTAATTACGGGAAATATCAAAAGAATCCTTACCATGAGGTTCCATGCTCTTTTGGCGCCAAGCCGCAATTTCGGGCTGTGTTAAGGGCTGGCAAGGCCCTAGCCTGGTCTAGTTTACATATGGCTAGCCGAGGCCCACCAGCCTCAACCGGGCCAAAGAAGCTTTAGTATATAATAAAAGAAAAATCAAGGGAAGAAATAAAGAAAATAAGGGTCGAACAGACAATAGCCTAGCTCCTAGCCGGTGCCGGTCCTATCCTTAGATATGATGGTCCGACCAGTGGGTCACATTTTGTGGCTCATGCTCTAGTTTTTTAGGACCTAGCTGGGCCACCCTGTCACCCTAGTTGTGTTGGAACCAAATTCTCCTTTTACAAGAGAAAAAAAAATTGGGCAAAAGCAAATGAATTGCATTTCTTGTTTTGTTTGAATATTAGTTTGGGTTTAAATTTTAGGAAAATTTATAAAAATATATCTAATTTCTTAATAATTTAATAATTTACCTTTTTCAACTGTTCCAACTCATGCTCATGTATGTTGACAAATATTTTGAAATTAAATCGAATAATACAATGTAAAATGTTAAATAGTTAAACTATTCCCTAGAATCTGAGTTCCTTTTGAACTAACCCTCTTGGAAAGTTTTTTTTTTCTCTAATCAATCTTGGGACATCATCTTTTAGGTAAATGTAGAATTGAAATTTTGAAATCCAATCTGCAACGTTGGGAATAGTTGAGGGTGATGGGACAGCGACTAAAATAGAACATTTTGGCAAGCATAATGCTTCCTCAAGACTATTTGTTGCGAGAGTGCACCCAAACAATATACAGGCTAATAGCACTTCTACTATCATCATCATCATAGTATTTTTTCAATTAATTGGAGTCAACTATTCATGATAAATTCTTGATAAAATTTTATTTTACATTGACTACCTAATACAACCCAACCTTTCTTATCTAAACATGTGGCGGATTAAGAAAAAGTTTAAAGCCCTTACCCTTCTTAGACCATACCGAGTGTAAATTATACCTTAAGCACTCTTACTCACGCACATCCGAACCATATACTCCACAAAAGCCTTGGCCCCCTTTGTTCCATGACCATAAGACCAGAAGACAAAAGATGTTCCTTCGTGTATACATTCGTTCTCCATTTCTGAATCTATAATAGGAATCAAAGGTTCACCTCTCTATCTATATTAATATAAAAATAACACACCTTTCTCACACTTTGGCAAACACTATTTTAAAATAACACCAACATTTATAAAATACAACACTAACCAAATGAGTATTATCAAAAGAATGAATTTCCTAAACCGTAAGATTGACCATCCAAAAGCCGAACAACTTCTGTTCAATCCCGAGACTTCATTTTCAAGCAAATATAGAATTTAAACAATCTCTTTTCAATCCCATGGGAAGACTAAATTTCCTCCATAGCATGTGATATTTTCAGTATCATTCAATCAAGGTAAATTGGAAGGGTTTCATAGAGAACCAAAAAATTATTTATACTCTCTCTCTCTCTGACACACACCCACCGACCCCTCTCTCTTGGCTTTGAAACTAGCTTACATGAGCTATATCATCAAAATGAGAGACCGCCATACCCCTCATTTTAACTCCCCATTTTTCCCTAGAAGGAAAAAAGACAATTATGCCCCTCATTTCTACCCCCCATTTCTCGTTGTGTTCAAATTCCTAAAACTCGGTGTCGAAACACGCCAGCATCGCTTTTGAAACAGCAGCTCGTGCGAAGGGAATGTAGCTGAGGCTGTACCTGCAAGAGGTCCCAAATATGAAACATGACAAATTGTCAAATATAGTGTAGAGTATATACCATTTCTACATGCAGAATACAAACATGATGTCTAACCGCCAGTCCTAAAAGTGGATGGCTGAGATGAATTGTTCCTCGACTCATATCCATGTTGCTGTTCAAATGTACAAAGATTCATCACTACCGTCGATGTTTTGAAATCGAATGGTTGTAGTCCTTAGACTGCATCAATGATATACCCCTAGATGTGAAATTGAGTTTCTTTTGTTTTTTTTTTGGTTTGGAAAGGTAAGGCAGGGTTTGGGGGCAAGACCTCGTGACATTGATAATGCATCAGTGCGGTGTTTCCTTGCTTGCCATACATAGAGGGATGGAAATTGAGACGAATTGCCTTCCAAATAGAATGCAAATCACTGCCCATTTGGCATCAGTGCCCTAGTGTAAAACCGGTGCGAAGAGCATGTCATGACATACTCCATTGATCACCAGCAAAATGTCATATGCATTGGTCGGGAATACACTAAACACAACCTTCCCAAGTGAAGCCTAAACTAAAAATAACTAAAATGAGAAACCTCATTTTTATTTCCTTGTTCACAGGCATTCTTATATTTTGCAGTAATGGCAGCCACTGTTATAATATCTGTCACATTGTTCTTATTTAACCATAGTTTCAAACATATATCACTGGCAACATCATTTAAAATGAAATTCTAGGGGAACAAAACTGAAGAAAAAAAAATTGAAATTATTGAGGGATCCTTACCAAAAAAGGGCACAAAACTCAATGATGATAGCCAGAAGTGTCAAGAGCTTGCTATGAACCTGCCTGACAAGGAAGAGATACAGCATAATTACATTATATATAAAGCCATGAGAAAACTATCAAAGGCCTAACAAGATATTAAAGGGGGGAGATATTAAAAAGTACAGGACTGTTGCAGACTTACATAGAGAGCACATAGAAGTGCAACAATTATGCTCCCAATGTATATGCCTGTTGCATAAATCCGTACAGGGTCAAGCATCATTCTCACCTGACGTTTGGGTCCTATGAGAAAGGCTGTGCTGTCATAGAAAAGGCACCAAACTTTAGCAACTCATGAACAAAACCACAAATCGTAGACGTCTCTTGGTCAGGGGTATGCAACAAAACAAGAGAGCCAATGAGAATTTACTTAGCATTATAACGAGAAGAGAATGACAAGAATAAAATAGTGAATATTTCTCTAAACAACAAGGAATGAAACTAATCACAACTTTCAGACTAGGCAATCATATAAATGAGACTGACCTAAAGAAATATGCCAAGTAAAATGTAAATAGATATCTAATGTACTTACAAACCTCCCAAGCGAAAGCATGTTGCCCAAGGTGAAAGCTACCGCGAATTTGATGGGATTGAAGAAAACAAGAATTGACTGCACAAAAATTGAACAAATTTTGTAAGTTTGCAGGTGACCATTTTTTTTTTCCACTGGACCAGCACCTTTAAATCTGCGGGAAATGAAGCATGGCACAATAATGGGCCTTTGTTCAGATTGTAGACATTGAAACTGATTAACAAGAGCAACTATTTTGATAAATTCAACATGAACGAACAGATGCAAGAAGGAGTGTGTGTGCTCGCACGCACACACACAGAATAATTTCCCACGGTGCTTAAATCGGAACATATTCACGTATGCAATTGTGAGTAGTAAACGTCCTTATCGGAATTCTCTGAAACAAAAATAGAAGATTCAAAAACAATATCTAGATTCAAGGGTGTAGAAAGTCACAAGCACAATCAAAGGTCAGAATTCATCTGCAAACGCTACTAGTTGACAAATCAAAGCTAAAGAATTCATGCACCCACTCTTATCATCAGGAATGGAATAATTAGTTTTGGCATGAAAATCTCAAACTAACAACTAGAAGTGTGCCATGCTAATAAAACACCATCCATGAGGAAAAGTTCCAGATTAAGAAGTGTTTCAAATTTCATCACATTAAATGCAAAAAATAGCCCCAACTCTCTCCCCTTCTCCCTCGGAAATAAAAGCACTCTTAAAAGACCTCTTCTCCCTCAAGAAGCCTCCATATCTTATTCCGCATTGTCCATGTAGTATAATACAAATTTGGAGCTTCTGAACCTCAAATGCCCAATAGTTGGGATCTTGTCAGATAATAGCAAATAATTAATTGTAGATACTCTACCAGGGTTCCCTTTTATGGCATACCCTGATAGATCTAAAACCTTATAGATCTAAAACTCCATAACAGAATTGAAAACAAACAACTCAATTCCCTGCTCTCAAACGACAGCATCCTTTTTAAAGTTCATGTATGAGAAAATTCAGCCTTTGCATACAAACAATTACCCAAGATGATAACGGAAACCTAGTATTCAAACTGCCTCAATGGACAAATATGCGTAACATCAGCAAACAAATAAAAGAATGACACACTCTTAAATCTTAATACCCCTCCAAACTCATCCTAGAATAAAGTTTTGCACAATTAATGAAGACAAGATCATCGGCTCAGCTAACACAGCTCGATGAAAAAATATGTAAGTTGCACTAATCCAACTTTAGCGGCAGGCTCTAAGTCAGAAAAGTATGACACCAGAAGACTCATGCCCAAAGAAAATCAGGTGCATATAGATACGTGAATGAGAACATTATGATGCTTCCAATTAACTTTATTCAAAGAAAAGAAATGCCATATGGTCCTATAATAATTGGATCAAATAATTACAATATGAAATGCCTCAAAAGGGGCGTATATCACTCATTTGAGATCATAACCAGCCCCAAAATGATGAAACACCAGTGTTAACCAAGAAAACACACTCTTATGTATTTTTTGAGTGAATGCATAGTCTTATGTATTACCTTTTCTTCACATAAAGGCTATAAGAAAGCAATCAATATCACAAGAAAGGCCCAAATAATGATCAGGCCTACCTAAGAGTGACATATCTCATCATAGTCCAAGCCATACTCTTGACTATAACCTTAAACTTCATAATTGGATTCATGACAGACCAGAGTTCTTATCACAAGCCCCATCAGTGATTGTTGAATAACTCAACAGTGACAGTTGCCAAATCACAAGTATAATGTGAGGGGAAAATGCCATATCAGTCAAACACACCAGTTAGAGAGAAGAGGTCTCAAATTGTGTTATCCTTTAGCAATATGAAACAAAAGCATATATCAATCAGAAAAACAAAAGGTATGCAATACATATCAGTAAAATATGCATATGATAGAAGAAGTCACAATAACATTATCGGTTTGAAGTTTTCCTTGTCTTTATTTTATTTTTAGTTTTATGATATGCAATTTTAAATTAATTACCACTACTTGTTTGCAATGCAAAATACATTCCGATCAAAATGCAATGAACAAATTTTACTTGTAGTAACAAAATTAAATTAAAGGTGTAGAAGTTTAAAAGAAAAAGCTCAAAATAAAAAGGAGATAAAAAGAGAATGATGTACCATGAGTGTGCAAGTCAAACCCGCAACTAAGCATATTGCAAAGCCAGTCATCCTCTGTTTCAAAACACCAAAATTAATTCAATTTCAAACTCGAAGCAAAAAAAAAACCTAAAGCAGATCAGACTAAACCATAAATCCCATAAATATATCCAAAACCCTAAAGTTAGACATTCCAAAACAGTTAACCCTTAATCTGAGCCAAAACCATATAAATAAAATCTTAACGTGACCTAAATCCACAGATCCGTTCCAAAAACCCCTACGGATCTAGCCATATCAATTCCTAAGATGCATTAATATGGTTCAAAATCATGAATAAGAAGCCCTAGATCCATAAATCCGGTCGAAAACCCTAATTCGGATCATACAAAACCCTGAATCCAAGAAAACAACAAATTCATAGTAGAACAATAAATTTATAGTAGAATACATAATTCAAGATCATTTATTAAGAATAAAAATCGAAACAGAGTATGAAAATATATGTAGTCTGACCTGCTTCGTTGAGAGCGTGCACTGGCGATTGAAATCATCAAAAAATGAGACATTTTCCTCTGCAACTTCTTCTTCCACCTCCATTCCCACGAATGACTTTAGCCTCCCCATGGCCTCATTCACTTTCTCCATTTTCAGCTTTTTCCTCTCTTGATCCAGCCAAAAATAAGAGCAAAAAATGCTAAAAAATAATAATAATACAAGTACCAGGAATTTATCTCTTCTGATAATTCTACTGCATTTTGCTCCAGAATTAGCACACTTTATTGCTTAATCTGAAAAATCAGAAGAATTCTTAGCTTCAACATTCAGTAATGGCGCGTAAGAAAGAGAGGGCTCTCAGACTATTTTAGAGCTTATTTAAATTTATGGTCGCTCTCGAGTAGAGAAGCTTTTACTATTTCACCCTCAGTCTTCCTGCAATACATTCGCCAGAATGTCGTGACACTTTTCACTCGAATCAGTAAAAAGGTCGTTTGTTGCTGGGAAATTAGCATAAATCTACTTTTAATTTTTTTTTTGACAAATTAGAAAAAAAAGAAAAAGAAAAGTAGCTTTCAACTTTTATAAGAGGAAAGATCCTTCGTAAGAGTAATGATCACGCAGGGCCTCCTTTACCCAAATGGGTAGGATCAATGGTTTAAAAATCGGATCGGTGACCTGGATCAGGCTTTCAAAAAACCGATCCGGATCGGCGAATCGGCGATTCTGATTGAGAATCGGGTGAATTGGTAAGAATAAAGCTTCAAAAAAATCCGAAAAAATTATTAAAATTCATTATAAATATTTTTTTTTAGGAATTCAATAAGAAATAAGGGTACTCCATTAAGAATTTTCTTGTTTTTGAATGAATATGCGAATATTGATATGTTCTTTCCCTGTATGAACCGCCATTCAACATTTAATTTACATCACACAAAAGGATAAACATAGAATTATCATGGAATAAGTATATCAACATACATACTACAATAAAGCATAAAATTAGTAACATACGATCTAAAAATAAAATGATAGACGACGTTGTTGTTCTTCTTGGTCACGCTGGTGCCATTGATTGAATTCGTTTGACAATTCATTGATTCGATCTAAAAACGAATCATCGATATTAGCGGGTGTCTGACTATTCCCAAATCCCTGAGTGTTAGTGTTTTATTGTGTTCCCAATCCAAAATCCTCGAAGCTTGTCCATCC